GTTCAGCTCTTCGAATGTAATTAGTGTCCCTTCAGTGTTTCTTTATGCCCATCTAATTGCACCTTGGTTCAGGAGTTAGTTAATGCCTATCCATTTAGGCGAGGCCAGTAAAATCTAATGAGGGAGCAGACCAGACAACAGTGTGTACGGGGGTTACTGCTGTCTGCTTTCCTGGCTGCACCAAGGAAACCATTTCTCATTTCATGTGTAAGCTCTTCCTGAGCTTTCCGTCTGCGTCAGAATGAGGCTGTTGGCAATGCTAAAGCTTATTGCAGGTTGCCACATGCAGCATTAGCCGCATCTCCGAGGCGGGCTAAAAGCAGAGAGGATTATGCTCCAGCTTCCATGTAGGTTAAAGTGTATTTGCAAGACGGGGTGTCAGCTGGTTCTGCTTGTGCTCAAATAGTAGGATTGTTGGGTTCCTCTGGAAATCCACATGCCATTGCACTTCAGGGTGCGCTGTAATTGGGCACAGTTCATAAATTGAAACAACCCCCCATCCCCACCCCGAGTCCTGAACCGTAGGGATGGGGATCTACAGCAGGCTAAATGGCCATCACTCTGAGCCCCTGCTTTTCTTAGGTGGCCAGTTCAGGTGGGTCCCAGCTAATGACCAGACAAGGGTGGCTGGCCAGGGCCATAGGCAGGTGTTCACTTCTGCAGCGGGCTTATTGCTGCCCAGCTGGGTAGAAGTCATGCATCTGAATAGGCACTGCTGAGAGAAATGACATTTTTGAGAGTTTGAGTTTGCCAGAAGCTGGGAATGGGTGAGAGGAGCCAGTTCCCTGCTCTGTTCATTCCCTCTGGGGCACCTGGCGTAGGCCACTGTCAGGAGAGCGGATGCTGGGCCGTCAGTCTGATCTTGCTGGAGAAAAAATGAAAATGCTTCACTCCTGTTGAAGGCTCCTCTTCCAGGGCTCTGGGGATGGAGTGTTTCCATTTTCTAATTTCAGAGCTGCTGTTCGGAAATCCATACGCACCAAGTGTGAGAGTGAACCTGGAACTGAACGTTGGGGCTTGCCCAGTGAAGCGTTTCCAGTAACTTGAGCCAGAATGGTCTCTCAGTTGTGTTGTGCAGCAAATGTCCATTCCTTTTGTTTTTGTTGTTGGGGCGGGGGAAGAGGGGGCGGATGGAGATTGCAGGATGAAATATCCGGGTTCTGCCCAGCTGCCTTGCCTTGCGGGGCAGCAACACAGCAGATTGGACAGGAGATCCTGGTATTGTCACTGTGGGTTTCGGTGAACCTAGGGCTGGGGAGGGAAGCCCCCTGCCCTGATCCTTCTGCCTGAGGCCCCATCCCTACTGTGCAGGCCCCTGTAGGGCAGGGCACCCCAGCAGGAGGCACATGGTCCCAGTTTTCCCAGCCCCAGGAGCACAGGAAGGGCAGGTGGTCCCCTAGCCCTGGAGGGTGGGTAGTGGGTGCCCCCAGTCCTGGGTGGCACGCAGCCTCCGCTTCCCTGATACCGGGAGGGCAGCCACAGGAGACGGGGGGCCTCGCTGCATGCGGGCGTTGGGGGTGGAGCGTAGGTGGGGCAGTTTGGGAAGGCATTGCCTTCCCTTCCCTCTCCCAAGTGCCAGCAGTGCCGAGGAGGCTCCTTCCCCAATGGTGCTGGTGCCTTTGCCAGCACTCAGCTCATCCCAGCCAAGGTTCACTGCCCAGGGAGACGGGGGCGAAGGGAAGATGAGCTCAGGCCAGGTCTTGTCCAGTCTGCATGGAGACCATGGCAAAGCCTCTTCATGGGCCGAGGGGTCACTGTCCCAGCACCCACGAGGCACAGCCAGCGAGTCTGTTGTGCAGGCCGCTGGCC